ACACAGGAGTGTACAAGACGAGCCTAAAGCAAAATGCAAAGAAAAAAAAAGAAAAAAAAACCAGACAAACAGAATCCATTTGGACCCTGATGGAATGACAGTGAGGCTGACCAGCTGTGTAAAAGGAATAAGAGAAAAGAACATTGACTCTATAAGCAATGAATAAATACTTATTAAGCACGTGCCAAGCACCCAGCCATTTGAAGATGAGAAGCAAGGACTCAACAGTCCAGGGAATTTGCAATCTTCTTAGGCAGATGAGACAAATCCATGGGAACAAGGTAGGCATAAACAGTGCTTTCTGTCAAAAGCTGAAATTCACTGCATAGAACTCACAGGAAGGGTGGGAATCAGATTATCCTAAGTAGGTGACTTTCCTCTAAGCCTCTCTGCAGATGTAGATGGTACAACACCCCTAGTTCAAAAGGGAGGGGTCAAAGTGAATCCAAATAAACCGGAATGCTCCAAGATTTAGAGTGTATGCACCAGAAACTTCCAGGAGCTTTTAAAGTTTTCATTGGGCAGAATCAGACAACTGTGGTTGTTAAAATGCAGAGTCCTGAACACCACACTAGAGACACAGATCTGGAATGGAGCTTAGGGAATCTTCATTCTAAGCAAACATTCCAGGTGTTTCTAAGGCAGCTTTCTCAAGCCTTTACGTGAGAAACACTGCTTTAGAGGTGAAAGCGAGCTAGGGGAATTTAGGGTTGCACATTCCGATAGTATTAACCTGCACCCGTTCTGGGGCTGTCTGTGACCTCCTTGGAATCACAGTTTTTAAAACCTGTGTGTTTATGGGCATTATTTTTCTTCAAAGGATCTGTCCACAACTTTACCCCTAGAACTAATAATCTCTAAAGATGTTTGTTTGCTGGGGTTTATTTATTTAGAAAATCACTTATTCAATCCCTGCATCCCCAATTTAGATCTAGAAATCTCATTCTACTTAACTTCTGTGATTTTGTCAAGTCCTCTCCAAGAGTGAGCACTGCAAATCACTCCAACATCTGAGCTCTCCAAAACTTGGTATTTACCTACACTATAGGGCTCATCACATTCCATCAGGAGTATTTGTCTAATTGTCTGCTCTGTTTCCCCAGGGGGAATACAAGGCGGCTGACAGTAGGAAACATGTTACTGAATCGCTACAGACACTTTGCAGAACCACCACCTAACATGTGTCAGAAAGAATTCAATCCATAATCTCTAATACCTGAATGAATGAACATGTGTGCATCTGCTGGATGTTGAGGAAGTGTGAGTATACATAATGTGCTCCTGTTTCTTCTTCCTACGTGAATCTGTAATTTAAGAACAGTTGATGCAGAGATTTCAGTAATCCAGCTAAGGTCCTGACATTTTTGAATTTTCAACCAGAATCCTGGCACCCCCAGGTCCAATGAAGTGTGGTCCAGGTTTTCAAAGTGTCAGGTGGAACAGAACCCTTCCATTAAATGTGATATGGTTACAATTAAAGCTGCGATCAACCCAGAGAGGTGTTTTTCTGCAAAGGCAAACTAATCCCATCTCATGGTGCGAGCAGTTAAGTCTTAGTGCTCCCAGCCTCAGTTGCTGTCAGACTGAGACCTCTCTGGTTTAAGAAATGACTCCTCCTTCACACTCCCCATGCCTTCCCCAGGCCCTTAAGCCATGTTCCCTGCCACACATTCTGCTAAGATTTCCTTCAAAACACATTAATTTTCAGCTCTGGAAGAAATTTACTTTCCTTCATACAGAGAGCTGTTTCTGGCCAGAGGCTTTTAGCCGATGAGCAAGAACTCAGAACAACTCTTCATCCCTGTCTGCCTGTAATCAGGAATTTTGAATCACTCGACCCCAACACCCAAAGACTTCAGCTTGGTGGCAGCAGCAGCTTCAAACCATAGCAAATAAGGAGGCTGTTTGTGAGGCCGACAAGAACAGACTTGGTTGGCGCTGCTTCTGTTGTGTGCCTTAGATTGCATTTACATTGCTGGAAAGGGAAAAAAAAAAAAAGATGCCACCTTGGAAGTGTTGGGGGCCCTTGTGAGAAGACAGCTGTTCTTCCTCCTGTTGGGAGGAAAATGGCTGTAATATCTACAGGAAGGCTGTGGTGGTAGATCTGTGGAGGAAGCATTACTCTGGGTGGAAGAAATGGGGCTTCCCAGGTAGTGCTAGTTGTAAAGAACCCGCCTGCCAATGCAGGAGACGTAAGAGATGAGGGTTCGATCCCTGGGTCTGGAAAAGCCCTGGAGGAGGGCATGGCAATTCACTGCAGTGTTCTTGCAGTGCATTGGACAGAGGAGCCCGGCGGGCTGTGGTCCCTAGCGCTGCGCAGAGTTAGACAGGCCTGAAGCGACTTAGCAGGCAGAGAAGAAACCTGGGAAAAGCCAGTGGTGGCTGAAAGAGCTGAAGACGGCCCTCAGTCTGGGCAAGACTTGAGTCTTCAACTGGAAGAGCAAACAGCAATACGTTAAATAAAAGCAGGAGTTACTGACTCCTTTGTGTTGGTTTGGGAATTTTTTTGGTAGTTAGCCAAAATGCTTTCAATTGTTAATTTGTCTGGTTTTCGTTTGATTTTTCGTTTTACTGTTTGTTCTTGTTTCTTTAGCCAACAACTGGCGGGGAGAAACCTCCTTAGGTTTAAGGACCTGGGCATGCCCGTCTATCCCAACTTACTGTTCTTTGATTAATTACTTACTTCATTTAAAAAGCCCACCACATGTTTATTGAGCACCTACTCTTTGTGGGTCTTCTAGATTCTGAGGACTATAGAGAGGGATGAGGTGAGCGTGACCTCACCTCCGAAGAGAACACACTGCAATCAGCAAGGGCAGACAAGAAAGATGTGAATTCTCACGTACTTACATGAAGAAGGTCAGTCAGGGAGTGTGAAGGTGAATAACCTAGTGAGCGGATTTTAGATGGGTTAGTCAATGAACATTTCTCTTCGCAAAGCTGAGATCTAACGATAAAAAGGCAGCCATGTAATGGCCTCAGGGATAATATTTAAAATCAGAGAAAATCACAGCAAATTCAAAGTTTATAAGATCGTCAGGAGCTTGAAAACTCTAAGAAGAGCAAGGCTCCCAGTATGGTCAGAGCAGAAAGATCTGGAGAGGAAGCGGTCTGGGCAAGGCTGAGAGTGAGGAGGGAGCTGGGTCACGCGGGCATTACGGATCATGACGAGGGGCCTAGGGTATGTGACGCACGTAACGAGGAACCAAGGGTGGGAAGTCTGCACAACCAAAGCCGGACCCTTCCTTGTGTTCAGGGGTAACTTACTTCTGTGCGATTGGTAAGCCTCTTGCCGCCCCTCTTCGCCTGGAAACACATATACTTATGTGATTGCTACAGTGTGGCTTCTCTGAGAGCCACGAGGATTTTTTACAAGGTCCCCAAGGTACTGATCATTTACACTGTCATCTCAGGTGACCAGACACCAGAACCTGATCATAGACCTGCGCTACGTTTAAGCCCTTAATCCCTCTTGCCATTCTTTCTTTAAATATTTGCTTTTATATTCTCCATGCTGGACACTGTGCCAGACAGCATGAATCTTGAGATGAATATACCCCCTGCTTTCAATGAGTACACTGTCTAATGAGCAGAAAGAAACGCAGAAATAGGCATCTACAGTGGCTGCTCAAGTTATTGGAAGGAAATCAGACTTTCATCAGACCCGATGATGTTATTTTTCAGGATCTGTGTCTAAGCTCTGTCCAGCTCACCACACAAACAGAACTGAGCATTCTACGAGGACACAGCACAAGCCGACCATCTTTGTGCCGGACTTCCACTTCATTAAGAAAACAAAGCTGCATTCAGAAAAACCCCTCAGTTCCTCTTGTTTTTCTACCCCTGGCGGGAAGCAAGTCTCACCACAGAATTCTTCAAATGTGTGAATCCGCTGGCTACCTTCAGACAGAACGTCTTCACCAGCCCCTCCTTCTGCTGGCTTTGAGCTGTTGGTGGTCTCCAGGAGCTGCTCGCTCCTTCCCTACCTTCTCATCTGCTCCTGGAGCAACTGCCCTAAGTTCAGTCAGTTCAGTCGCTCAGTCATGTCCGACTCTTTGCGACCCCATGAACCACAGCACGCCAGGCCTCCCTGTCCATCACAAACTCCCGCAGTTTACCCAAACCCATGTCCATCGAGTCGGTGATGTCATCCAGCCATCTCATCCTCTGTCATCCCCTTCTCCTCCTGCCCCCAGTCCCTCCCAGCATCAGGGTCTTTTCCAATGAGTCAACTCTTTGCATCAGGTGGCCAAAGTATTGTAGTTTCAGCTTCAGCATCAGTCCTTCCAATGAACACACAGGACTGAGCTCCCTTAGGATGGACGGGTTGGATCTCCTTGCAGTCCAAGGGACTCTCAAGAGTCTTCTCCAACACCACAGTTCAAAAGCATCAATTTTTCAGCACTCAGCTTTCTTCACAGTCCAACTCTCACATCCATACATGACCACTGGAAAAACCATAGCCTTGACTAGACAGACCTTGCTGGCAAAGTAATGTCTCTGCTTTTTAATATGCTGTCTAGGTTGGTCATAACTTTCCTTCCAAGGAGTAAGTGCCTTTTAATTTCATGGCTGCAATCACCATCTGCAGTGATTTTGGAGCCCAAAAAAGTAAAGTCTGACACTGCTTTCACTGTTTCCCCATCTATTTGCCATGAAGTGATGGGACCGGATGCCATGATCTTAGTTTTCTGAATGTTGAGCTTTAAACCAACTTTTTCACTCTTTTCTTTCACTTTCATCAAGAGGCTTTTTAGTTCCTCATCACTTTCTGCCATAAGGGTGGTGTCATCTGCATATCTGAGGTTACTGATATTTCTCCTGGCAATTTTAATTCCAGCTTGTGCTGCTTCCAGCCCAGCGTTTCTCATGATGTTCTCTGCATAGAAGTTAAATAAGCAGGGTGACAATATGCAGCCTTGACGTACTCCTTTTCCTATTTGGCATCAGTCCGTTGGTCCATGTCCAGTTCTTACTGTTGCTTCCTGACCTGCATATAGGTTTACAACTGCGCTAAAGCGCACACTAAATCCTCGGTGAGGGATGGCACACCCAGGCGGGAAACCTGCCGCTTCGCGCTCCCATGCCGCGAACTGCCAGCACACGGACGGCTGGCGCAGGCGCGTCCCGAGGGCGGCCTTATCAGAACAGCGCAGTCCGGTCCTGGCGGCTGTGTCCGCGCGGTGCCGAGACGCTTACATGCTCCGGGACCCGGGCTCCTCCTCCTGCTCTGCGGCTGCTACCTGATGATTCTCTGTGTCTAAAGACGCAAGAAGTGAGTTTCAGCCGCTGGGAGACTGTCCCCTCCCGGCCCTGGCCCCCGCCCCACGCTGGGCCACAGGCAGCACGGACAGCAGGCTCTTTCTTTCCCCCTCCTCCTCAAAGAGGAGACTTCCAGCCTAGGCAGCTCTTTGTCATCACATGGCGATCATTAGTGATAAGAGGTTGGCACTGCAGAGTGCCTTTCTTAACAGCCGGAATCACTTCCCTTTGACAGTAACTCAGTTACTCTCCCAAGTTTTTTTTTTTTTTTTTGAAAAAAATATCCAAGTAGTGGAGTGGGTAGTGGAGGTGATGGAAGATGCATAAACAGGTTCCTTAAGATTTTGAAATTACATATTTACAATAAAATCCATTCTTCCTTCTGCATTGCCACTCCAAGCCGATTTTATGTTTTAATCAGATTCTATTAATCTCTTTATGTGTCACACTTCAAGAACTGTTAATGTAAAATGTAAGTATGGAAATAGATAGCACTCACTTAGGCCAGTTGTACCTATTTTCTTACCGCTTCCATGTAAGTGGAGACTATCTTCTTTTTACTTAATAGTCTCAGTTTCAGAAAGGATCTTTTGTGATAATGCTTGCTCTGGGTTTCCTGTACATCTCAAATGACTCTTTCCACTTATCCTTTTTAGCCTTAGGGGATCCAGAAGAGATTTTATTGGGAACATTTTAACCTTCACTCTGATCTTCACTATTAATCTTGTCCATTGTTTTCTTAAGATTCATAGTCAAAATGACTCTATCCTTCTACCAGTTGACCTTCTTCTATCTTGATCTTCTTACTTTCTTCATCTATTCAACACTCTTTTCTAGTCAAACTGGACCATATACCTATTCCCAGTATGCTTCTGTCCTCTGGTTTCTGTACAATCATTATAATTTCCCCTCACTAAAATAGTCCCTGTTCCTCCCATACCTAACCTGTGTATTCACAGAATTCACCCTTTTTGCTTAATTCTGCGTGGATATACACAATCATTAAAAATATCCTTCCGTGAGCTTCCACATCTCTTTATTTATCATTCTCATATCTTTTACTCATTATAACATTCACTTATATTTTTCATTTGTAAATAACTATATTAGACTAAATGCACCTCAAGGGCAGGAAGATGGTATTGGTCACTGTTGTATTTGAAACACAAGGGTGATCAGTGATACTAGTCCAATGCATTGGACTAGCGCATTAGACCTACTCAACTACGTGTCTGCTGAATTTGAGATAGGTGAATGACTGGTCTAATGAAGAAATGTCTCAAAATTAAATGTTTCTCAGAAGTGTGTTAGTTGACCAAAAACCAGAATGACCCCGTGGAGAGGAGTAGCTGAGCCTTATCGCCCTCAGGCCTGCATCTGAAGTTTCGTCATCTCTGTGGACATGTCACCCTATGCTGGTTTTGGTGAAACTATTCTAGCCCAAGTTGAACATCATAAATAACCCTTTAGCTTCAAGACCAGGCTAGGTCATATTATCAAATCTTTATAAGGGCTTCCATTAGGATGAAAAAATAGACTGTTGTGGTTTTTTTTTGTATTCTAAGACTATGGTTTTAGAGAAGTTTTAAATTCACAGGACAATGCAGAGATAGGAAGAGAGTCTCCAGGTAGTTCTGAATAGCTGAGAACAGCCTATAAAGAAGGATAGAAATACAGAGATCCAAGGACTAGAGACAGAGCTGAAATAAGCAAGTGGGAAGCCGAAAGTGCCCGCAAGAAAGGGAAGTGTTTGGTGCGGGCGTGGGCAGTCACCCCGCAGCTGACAGGCAGCAGAAGCTCACCGCAGCACCCGGGTGCGCGGAGCTCCTCTAGGAGAAGGGCTTTGGTGTCATCAGGATGAAGGCGGTGTCTTCATCCCACTTTCAGTTCCAGAGCCCTTGTTTTGTTCCTATTTCTAGAATATGGTTGCTCCTGAACACGGCTCCTTCAATGCAAAGGCTATTATGGTTGTTGAATGGTTCACTTCCAAATAAATAAACAATCCCCCCATCCATACATGCTTGTATTTCTAGTTAAATAGGTATCTTCTGTGGAAAATTCATCCAAAGATTATTTGGCTTTTAAGATTTCCAAAATTTTATTTATTGGAAACAAACCCCAAAGCTTCCTAAATTAACATATTCTCTTCATTTTAAAGGGAAGTTCCTAGTATTCGCTCATCAGTCTTGAGAGTATTCAAAAGTGAAAGAGTAGATATTTATGTAGAAACTCCAAAACTAATAAAAGGAAGTTAAATTATTCAGTTTATAAAATGAATAAACATTGTCAAGCTGGCTCTAAATCTATCCACAGGAAATAAGATGAGTCTCTGTATTTGTATTTTTAAACCATAAAATGTTACATCCGACATATTTTTAAAAGCTAAAAAAGACATCGCGTCTGGTTCTCTCTCCCATGTCTCTCACAGACCATGAGACAGACACGCTGAATTTGCTGCCCCTCTAGTGGTGCTTGCTCACATAAACCTACTTCTGCACACACCACACTTCTGTCCTGTCTACTCTCCACCTTCTCCCAACCAGCAGTTCAGCCAGCTCGCAGTGTCTCAGTACACACGTCAGGAGCGGCGCCACAATGACTGCAGAAATGTTCTAAGGCGCATGTGAATCAGCCCTCATCTAAGATTCAAAAGAAAGATTCTAGTGCCAATTATACGTACCTCAAGGAGGGAAAGAAGGAGAAGCTCTGCAACTGCCAACGTGCAAACACTTCTCTGAGCAAGCATGACAGAGCAGGGTAAAAGGGACACACAGACGTTAAAAACAACGTCCCCATCTGTGTCAGTGCACTTACGGGAAAATGTTTATCTTTCTAAGTTACTAGAGAAGTAAGAATGGAAAGCAAAAGACTTCATTTTCAACTTTCGAAGAGGAAACAACAGTGTTCCCCAGCATTGGCTGAAGTCTAAGATACAGAACACCCTAACACTTCTTAGCAAAGATTAACTGGAAAATCCTTTTGGGAGAGCCATATTGCATATGCATCATTTATCTTAAAATATGTGTGCCCTAAGTCAATAAATATTCTCCCACCAAGGTATACCAAGGAAAGAAATAACATAAATATATACATATTTTATGTAATTATTAATGACAAATGTGAAAAATCAGAGGATAACATACACTTTGTTGTTGTCTAGTTGCTAAGCTGACTCTGACTGTTTTGCAAGCCCGTAGACTGTAAGCTGCCAGGCTCTTCTGTTCATGGTATTTCCCGGCAAGAACATTGCAGTGAGCTGCCATTTCCTTCTCCAGGGGATCTTTCTGACCCAGGGACGGAAACTGCATCTCCTGCACTGGCAGGCGGATTCTTTACCACTGAGCCACCGGGGATGTTATTTTAAACGGTAGACTATTCGTATCATAATATGTTACCCAAATATTAATGGATATTGTCTACCCATTAACATCATATATAAGAGAAAGAATTTTTAATGACTTAGGGAATCCTTATATATACTCATCAGTTTAATTTTAAAAAATAATATATGATGATCCAAACTTGAAAATTATAACCATATCTCTGGGTGCAGAGAATTCAATGATATAAACCATGCTGAACAGTTAGAGGTCATATATTTTTTATTATCTTAATTATTCCTTCCCTCAGCCATACATTTAATTATTCAACAAATGTCCACTGCGCTGCGGCTGTGTCCCACTGAGGGCACCAGATGCCGGCGAGCGTCATTAATGGACAAGGAGCTTACACTCTAGACTCTCACAGAACTTAACACTGCAGAGCAATTTCAGCCCATATTTATTCTCTCAGATGTTCTGCTAAGATTTCCTTGGGGCATGTCACACCCTGCAGAGAAATTTTGAGAAGTAATACGTATAAGAATTCAAGGATATTTTTGTGTCAGTGATTCACCATCACATTCACATCAATTGAAAACATCTGAAAAGGTTTTAAATTTATTTATTCATTCCTTCAGCAAGTTTATAGTGCCTAGTACATATTAGACTCTATTCTGGGTCAGTGAAAGATACACAATCCTATACATTTGGTGGGCCTTGTATTTAGAACAGTAGATTCTGAACACTTGTCCTTATATATTTTATCTGCAAAATGGGAAATGTAAGAACAAATTCCTGTATTTTCAAAGGGCTACATAGATGTTTGATACTTAGTTCTAAAATATTTTTGCTACCATTTGCAATCACTCTCCAAAGCATAAAAGATATTAGATATAAATCTAACATGCACAGGGTCTGTAAGCTGGACACTACAAAATGCTAATGAAAGAAATCAGTGAAGATCGAAATAGATGGAGACCTGTGTTCACAGAATGGAAGAGGCAACATAGTAAAGATGTCAGCTCTCCACAAACTGATCTACAGCTTTAACACAATTACAGTCAAAAATCCCAGAAAGATTCCTTGCAGGTATATTAATAGATAAATTGATTCTAAAATTTATATAGAAAGGCAAAGAGATTAGAATATCAAGATTAACTTTGTAAAAGAAGAATAAAGTTGGAGGGATCACACTGTTATTTTTAAGACTTGCTGTTTAGCTATGCAATCAAGACAACGTGGTGTTTGCAAAAGAACAGATGCATAGATCAATGAAACAGAGGATTCAGGAGTAGCTCCACATAAAGTATGATTCTTGACCCAGGTGCAAAAGTGATTCAACACAGGAAGCGTAGTCTCTTTCCACTATCCTAGTAGAGTTTTGGGTAAAATATTTAAGTGATATAAAAATAATTCTGACATTTTTAAAGAATCTTTCAGTTGAGAGAAATGTTTTTCTCAATTTTTTTCTTACTTTCTTTTTTTTTAATACTTTCTCCTTAATTGTCGTTCTTTTTAAAAATGCTAGTTCTACAATTATCACTACAAGGAGGACACATTTCTAAAATCTAATCAGAAATGCTCACATCATCTCTTACCCCCATAGTGATTACAATGTACTTTAACCTATAACATTCCTCTAATCCTGCACAGGCTGTAATTAGCTAATTGAGAGCATTAAG